ATCCGCTCTGTTGGAGAGAGCGTTGATCTCAGATACTCTCCTGGCTGAGGTGATGGCAACCAGGAAGACGACCTTAAGGGTCAGAAACTGAATGGAAACCTCCCTCAAGGGTTCAAATGGTGCCTCCATCAAGGCCTGGAGGATCGTGGGTAGGTCCCAGGTGGAGATTCGATGGACCACTGGGGGTTTCAGATTTGCCACTCCCTTGAGGAAGCACCTTAGGACCGGATGTTGGGATAAAGGGGGAGCATTCACCCACCTCAGGACCGTAGAAAGGGCGGAGACCTTGGCTAGGGGCCAAACCCTTCTCTAGTCCCTCCTGGAGGAAGTCCAGAACCTGTGGTACAGAGGCTGAAGCTGGGCGGAGATCCTTAGCTTGGCACCAGTCAGTGAAGGCCACCCAAGAGGCATTGTAAATACGAGTGGTGGACTGTCTCCTGGACGCCTCCATGGTCTTAATGACCTTCTCGGAAAAATGAGCCTCACTCAGCTGCTACCGCTCAATCGCCAGACGGTCAGATGAAGGCACTCCGGATCTGGATGCTCCAGGGACTCCTGGTGTAGGGACACCTCCCCCACTGGGATCCTCCAGTGGGAGGCTGAGGACAGATCCACTAAGTCTGCTAGCCAGGGACGGTGTGGCCAAAAGGAAGCCACTAGGATGACCTCCACTCCCTCTGACATCACCCTCCTCAGAACCCCGGGAATGAGGGGAAGGGGGGAAAGGCGTAGAGAAGACCTGGTGGCCATCTGCATCGAAGGGCGTCCGTGTCCATGGCTCCCCTGGCCGGGAACCTCGATATGAATTTCGGCAGCTGGCGTTCGTTGGGGTCCAAAGAGATCCACCGTCTGGTGTCCGAACCTCTCGCAGATCTGTCAGAAGATTGAGGGATGAAGCTGCCACTCCCCGTTGTCGATCGTCTCCCTGCTGAGCCAATCTGCCTGCTGGTTCTCTGTCCTGGAAATGTGCTCCGATCTGATGGACTGGAGATATCTCTCTGCCCAGTTCCCCAGTCGCAGGGCCTCGTCGCGAAGTGCTTTGGAATGGGTGCCGCCCTGCCTGTTCACATGGGCCTTGGCCGCCATGTTGTCCGTCAGAACGAGGACATGATGCCAGGTCACCGTGCTCTTGAAGTGACGAAAGGCTAGGTGAATGGCCCTGAGCTCCAACCACATAGCAAAGAGAGAAATAGTGGAAAGAGACAAGGAAAAACCCTAGGGAAAACTACTCGAATGATAAAATTAAAAGTGAGAAAAAGGATTCAGAGGAAAAGATACAATAATTATAGAAATAAGAAAAAGAAAAAGAAGAAAATTAATAAGAAGTGGAGTCTTTGAGAGACCAAGAGAAAATGGTTAGAGGAGGAGGAAGGGAAATAAGGAACATATTAGTAGATTAAATGGAATTGTATTATATTATTAATGGCATTTAGCCAATAAAGATGTAAGGGAATTAAAGTAACATTGTTAATTGTGGATAATTAGTTAAGTTAAATGTTCTCTATGTAAAAATTGAATTTGAGGATGTATGTTGCTTATAGTAAAACAGACCAACAGGTGAAATATGAAATGATAATTTGGTTTAACTTTGAAGATAATTTAAGTTAAGAGAGGAATATAAAATGTTAAAGAGTGGAATGGCGCATTTGAGAAACATACTTAGCGATGGAATTGGTACCAGAAATTAGGGTGTTTAGTGATATTGTTCATGTACTAAGAAGAAAATAAGTTTAAGTTAAAAATATGGAAAGAGAATAATATGGCTGAAATTGGAAAGAGAGATGGGATGTAAAATGGATTATATATTTGAGAGGATGTAAAAGAAAAGACACAGACAGCACTTTGTTCATAAAATATATAAAAATTTGTAATAAAAAATAAAATCCTTGAAAAAAACTTGTTCAAACTTTATAGGCTGCCTCAATTTTTTAAACCTCCGTCCCATATTTTCCACAATTCATTGGCTGACCAAGCTGCGGGTACAACCCTGGTCTACCAGGCAGTGAAGACCCCTTTGCTTCTGAGTGGGGCATTAACATCTCTACCCAGAGTGGTCAAAGGGGCAATGGTTCCACTTACCATTGGATCATCCTCCCCCTCACTGCCACTCTCATAGAGGACTAGGGTGGGCTTGTTGAGGGTCAAAGTTAACTCCCCCAGAGACCTCCATGACCTGTTGCACCACTCACGTCTCCTCCTTCACCTTCCTCAGCACCTTCTTGGCTTTCGGTTGTCTTGGAGCCCTTAGCACTGACATGGGCTGCAGGGTTAGGCAACTGGCTGCCTGATGGCCCTCTTTCCCACATTGGAACCTGGCTCCGGTAAGTTGCCGCAGACCCTCTTTTGGGGTAGAGGGAGGGGTTTGGGCCCCTTGCACACTGGCATGCATCTCTCTTGACCTTGACGGAGATGAACCTCATGCACTGCATATTGCCAGTATTCCAACAGGTTTAACTCTATTGTAGTCACCAGCTGGTACCAGATCCTGAGGTTGTTCGGGATTCCCCGGGGCAGGCAGTTTGGGTACACTTCCTTGTTTATTCTGTCTTGGAAGTGGTAGACCAACAAGCATTCCAGTCACACCCTCAGCTTCTCAGTCAGGCTATGGAATTCCTGAATGTATTCGGTTACTTGGTCTATTCACCTGCCTTATTGTGCAGATCCCAGATTCCACGTGGCGGGCTTGTGCAGGATTTCCAAATCTAGTTAGAAACTATCCGGGAAGGCATCCACATTCCCCAAATCCAGGGCCTTTTCATCATGGAGAAACATCACCCAGCCTGCTGCTTCTCCTTCTAGTATTTATGTCCACACAGACAACTTTGTATGGGTACATTGTTCCATATCGCTCCAAGTAGTTCCACACTTGGTTCAGGAAATAGGCTAGCTTCTCCAGCCACCTATTGAACATGACTTTCAAAGGCAGGGGTCCCGCACTAGTACATACACCAGTAGCAGCCTGTGGGACCACTTGAGCCTGAGCTCCTGCCACTGCAGGGATCCCTTGGGCTTGTCTTTGCGGCTGCCAGAGGGAAGGCAGCCACTCTACCGGCTCTTCCCAGTCCACAGCCCTGCTGGTCTTCCATTTGCTCCCTTGAGTCAAGGCAACCCCAGGCAAGTTCAAGGGGAATTCTACTTCGGCTGCCTTCTCCAATCTGCTCAGCCATCGCATCTTTGGGTCAGGGCAAATGGATCCTGCCATGGCTCTTTCCTTAGAAACCAGGAGTCAGTAGCTATGAAGCTAAGGAAGCGAGTTCACAGGAAACTGGTGAGGTTGAAAAGGGCCTCTGGATTCTGGTGATTTATTTGCAAGAATCTGCTTGCTTTCTATATTTTTTATATAGATCAGTATTCCAAAGTCACCAAGAAGTTAATCTGACACCACCACCACCACCCCGTTAGCTTCCCTCAATATTACTTACAGTGGCAGGTAGAGTCAGTGGCACACCAGGGGGTGGGTTGTCAGCTGAGGCCTGGATGGCATCAAGTACAGAGTATTCAAATCCAACTTTTCCTTTGTTTTTCAGAATGATCTCAGCCATACAGATGTGGTCAAAGGGCTTAGGAGAGAAGAGGGCAATTCTAATGTGAAACAGCACCTGCTTTTTGGCTGAAGCCCCCTTTTTGATTCCCTCACAACTCTTCACCAGGCAAGCTAGGAGGGATTTCTTCTACTAGACATACACAATGTTTCAATATTAGGAACATTCAATGGGCTTAGATGCATAAGTGAGTTAACCCATGGATAGAGAGGGAGACCCAAAGTAATGAAAATATTATTCTGCAATGATGTTCAAGCAGCATAATTCCAAGAAAGGCGGCCAAACCTTTAACTAGCATCAACTCATCCACTATTCAAATTGTTTCAATTTTCACCTCTGGAAAAACATAATATCATTTTATTTAGCTTGCTAACATATTTATATGTTTTTATACTTATATGCAAGTTCTGCCATTTCTGTATATTCACAGATGTCCCCCTCCCATCCCTCACTGAAAATTAGGGAGGGTCCCTTCTGAGACCTTTTCTTCCCACCTCCTTCTGGCTGGGATGAGCTGCAGGGAGAGTTGAAACATCCTGGCAGATGCTCTAGCAAACCCACTACAATCAGATACAATTGGAAATTCCCTCCTATCAGTCAGAAACATTTCTAAGAACAGGAGGATTGGTGCCAGATCATTTCAGCCTGGAAATTTTTCTATGATGTTATAGGCCAGTTCTTCAGAAATCCTCATAAAATGCTGAGACCCATGAAAAACACAAGACCATTTGATGTGTTTATGTAAAGACTGTGCCTGAAGGATAATTTCTAGAGCAGGAGTCCCATGCATCGGTAACCGGTCTGCAGCATGCCAGCAACCGGGCCATGCAAACAAGCAAAGCCCCATCTGCAAGATGCAGGCAGCAAGCGAAACCACGCCCCCAATGGTCCATGGAAAAAACTCTCTCCACAGAACTGCTCCCGGGTGCTCAAAAGGTTGGGGGGCGCTGTTCTAGAGAATAAAAGTATGATGAAAAAGAGGAGACCTAAAAGAGGATTGAGATCTCAACAGCTCTGTGTGTGTGTGTGTGTGTGTGTGTGTGTGTGTGTGTGTGTGTGTGTGTGTGTGTGTGTGTGTG